CGGGTACTTTGGTGCTTCCATTAAGCTTCACCCTGGCTATACTGCAGGAGTTATAACAGCTTTTTATGTAAGATATGATTAAATGATTTTGAAAGAAGTATTAAGTTGATTGATGAAAGTTTACACATTCACTTTTAGTTTAGGTTTATTAATGATTTGGTTAATTGATGGTAGCTTTCTAACAATGAAGCACATCCGGGCTTCCATGATGAAGTGGATATTGAGTTTCTTGGGACAACATTTGGAAAGCCTTATACTTTACAAACCAATGTTTATATAAGAGGAAGTGGGGATGGCAAAATTATTGGCAGAGAGATGAAGTTCCATCTTTGGTTTGATCCTACCAAAGATTTTCATCACTATGCTATACTGTGGAGTCCTAAGGAGATCATGTAAGTTACTATACATTTTACTGTGTATGCGTATGACTGTATGATAGTGTTCGAAATGCCTAGATTTTTTAGTCCTAGTTAAAAAAAGTAGTACAGACAGGTTAGGCAACATTTCATTTTCTACTGGAGCAAATAGGAAGGAGCATAAAAAGAATAACAGTATAAACTTGTGCTTGTGGCTATGATTCGATTGGTTCTTATAAAAGGGTATCACAGTTAAGGCACTACAGAGTGATATTCTAAAAGTTGAAAGGAAAAGAATTTCGTTTTCTCTGAAATTAAGGAGGAAAAGCAAAGGAGGCTTTGTCAGGTTTAATCATATAAAATCAATATCAGATGAATAGCACAGAAAGGAAGAAATAGAACCATTATGGGTGCAGGGTAATAATAAAAAAGTACTGTTGACCAGTTCCCTTGATGAAATGCGTTGGAATGCATTAAAAAAACAGAAAAGTTAGTGAATTTTTATATTTTTTAACAAAATATTTTTATTTTTGATTCCTCAGGGCACGTATTATCATTTTTTTTAAAATCTGGTTACTCCTAACAAATGAAGTAACATTAATTTAGTGATATACTTTATGGGCACCGACGTTATAATAAAATTATTTTCACTGTAACATTATAGTTATACAATCACCAGAACCATATTAAAAGTGAGTTTTATTAACTGCTTTTACTGACTTCGTGAAACAATGTCTCAGATTCCTTGTGGATGATGTGCCTATAAGGAGGTACCCAAGGAAGAGTGGTGCAACATTTCCACTACGGCCGATGTGGCTTTATGGTTCTATATGGGATGCCTCGTCATGGGCAACAGAAGATGGAAAGTACAAAGCTGATTACAAATACCAACCTTTTGTTGCAAGGTACACCAACTTCAAAGCTAGTGGTTGTTCAGCCTATGCCTCTCGTTGGTGTCATCCAGTCTCAGCCTCGCCATATAGGTCTGGTGGGTTGACCAAGCAACAGCATTGGGCCATGAGATGGGTGCAAAGACACCACATGGTTTATAACTATTGCCAAGACCCCAAAAGAGACCACACACTAACACCTGAGTGTTGGGCTTAAATCTTAATAAGTGAATAAATTAGGGATGCCTTAGGTGCCCTTAATGAGATTTGTTATATATGTGTTGTGGTATTTTTGAGAGAGTTTAATTAATTTCTTTTTTATAGGGATAACATGAGATGAGGCACTTCCCTTGACATTACATTAATGCAAGTGTACGGGATAGAGCCCTCCTAGACACAAGATTGTGAGGATTTTTCGTATTTGTTATGTTTCTCTTTCGGCTTAGAACAATGAAAAAAAAAAGGGAGATAAGAGAAAATAATAACATCAAGGTGCAATGAAGAGCGATTAGGCCGAGGAGTATTGGGCCAGCGTGAGTGCGAATATTATAAGCACATTATTCATTTTATAATAATGTTAGACATTTTAATGATGAAAATGAGATTTGTCATTTTAGTGTTAAGTTTGTTGTTTTTCTTTTGTTGGTCAACTTGTGTTAAGTGTGTTGAGAGAGTCTGATTCACGCGAAACAATCTACAATGATATTTATCAGAGAAACTAAAATTGCACTTGTTCTGACTTCTGAGACTCCAATGGGTTCTTCGATTTATTGCAAAGAAACTTCTATAGTGTTTCAGCAGATTCTCACCACAAGGGTCTGCCATGATCTTCTTGAATCAATCAGCAATACTAGTCTAGTTTCAGACTGCTACAATGATCTAATGATCAAGGATATCATTGACACTGACCCACTAAATTTGAAATATAATCAACTTTTTTTAAAATAATGAAAATAAGCTAAAAAAAATTCTTTTAATAAATTATACCAAAAAAAGTTATTGAAATAAGCTAAAAATAACTTATAGACTGTTTTTTATAAATTGTTGATACTTTTTGTCGAACAGGCCTTAAACAATAAATGTATAGCAAATTACTTTTATTTTTTATAATTTGTGCTTATCACAACATTGTTTTTATTACAAAAACTTATGCAAATTTATCGTTTATTTGTATAAAGAGTAATTTGCTCTTGAATAGTTATTGATATCCTCTGTGATGCGCTCCTGAAGAAAAGGAACAGTGTTATCACGCGGATCATAGTAATCAAGACATATACAAAGGCAAAAAGAAAGTGGGAAAACAAACTAAAATGGCAACTTAATTGTGTTATGTGAATTGGAGAAATGACATGTTCCTCCAAAATAGCATGCGTGATTTCTTGTTAAAGATGCATGGCATAATGGAGACGATTATAATGCGGAAAGTGGAGGCCCATAATCAAAAGATCAACAAATAGATGAAGAGCTTTCGAAGTCGAACCATTAATAAAGTGAAAAAGATGAAATGTTTCCTAATTAGCAAATAGATGTGGTTAAGCAACATTGGTGATAAATAATCCCCACTCTTTGTCCTCCTTTATGCTTTTGATTTTCTTTTTCTTTTTCTTTTTGACAAGTTACCTGACATTTTCTGTCATCCTAGTGAATAGTTGCAAAAATAACGATACAAATTTAACACTATAATTTTTGGGTAATGTTAGTGATAGTTTTATAATAAAAATAAAAAATTCATTTCGTTGACTTATACAATAAAAATTGGTAATGACAATTAAAATGAAATTTCAATTTTATGTAGAAAATAATATTAAGAATTACACTTAATCTTGTCTGCTCTTAATTCATATTACATTTTAATTAAAGTTAAAGGTAAACAAGTTTTCTAGTAATATTTGTCAAATATCTAAAAACAAATATTAAATAAAGTTTTTTTAAAATATTAATGTATTTATTGTTATAATTTTTATTTTTATTTTTGGCTCCTGAAACAAATCTAATCGACATTCTTTAATCTTTGTAGAGCCTTTCTCAAATATAAGCAGCAAACCCCATATACATCCGACCTTAGCTCAGTTGGTAGAGCGGAGGACTGTAGTGGGTGATCCAACAGCTATCCTTAGGTCGCTGGTTCGAATCCGGCAGGTCGGAATTTTCACTTTTTTTAATCTTTGTTTTTTAGAATTTCCCACGTGACTTAATGGGGTCCCCTCCTTTCATGAATACTTAATGGGTGTTTATTTTAATTCAAGATTAATAAAACTTAACTTATCACAATTCATCGTTACTTATCAACACAATTATAAGGTTAAAAAAATTCAAGTTCAATATTAAAGCTTAAGAACGTAAAAATTTTATAATTTAAATTTTTATCATGTATGTTTAGCAATTAAGCTATATAATTTTATGTACTATTTTAATTATTTAATTTATTTATATAAAAGACATGACATAAATTACATATCGTATTGTAAAAGTTGAATAAATTTATGATATCATTAATCATAAATAACATGATTAAACCTTTTTATTTTGTGTCAACTTTATAATTACTTTTGAAATATATCTTTTAATTTTCTTGCCTGAGACGTGATTATAATTGAAAATCAAACTAAAATACACTCGTTAGAATGTTCTTCTAATGTGACAATATTCAAAGTTTTTCCTTTTTTCTTTCTTCTTCTCAAGACAATTTTAAGTTATGAAAGAATCTAATGACCTATATTTTTTAATAGCAATTGCAGATAAGAAGAATTAAACATCACATATTAGTTTTTTAATTATTATAAGTATATCGTAACTGGACATCTTACCAACTTTTTACGTGCGTGATTGATCGAGTGGTTTTATTGTGTAGATTTTTCGGTGGCAATATAAATTAATAATTAGATTTCTTTTAACGAATGTCAGTAATAAAATTTATGATAAATGTTAGTAATATATTTATTATTAACTAAAATTTATTAAAAAATACAATAGTAAAAATATTAATATATGAGTAAAAAGGAAGTAAAATCTACATAATTTTTATATTTTTTGATAAATTTAAATTAACAGTAAAAAAATATATTAGAAAATTTATTGTTAGTAAAATTTATTTATAATGATTTTTATTAACAAGTACTAAAACGTATAAAATATATTTTAAAAAATATCATTTACTTTTTATTATGTATCCAATCCATGTTCAAAAATTGACTAACGAATGTTAAGAGTTTTTTTTTTTTCCATCCTTTTCATGGTCTCAACTCAATAATGAAATTCATTGAAAACATTGTAGCAAGCAAATTACTGATTATTTATTTATATATTTTTTACTTTTAATATTTAACTTTCAAAAATAAATTTAATATATTTTAAACATTAAATTTTATATTTAATTGTCAAAAATAATTTTTTATTTTCTAAAAATTAATATTTAAAAGTCAGTATGCATAATTTTTTAATTAAAAATAATTTTTAAAAATTTAAAATTTAAAATGTCTTATAAATACATATATATTTTTAAATCACGTGTATCCTTTATGGGTCCGAAGTTAATCTTATTTCCAAATATTTAACATATCTGCACTTTTTGAAACTTAATTTCTAAAATATATTAAATATAATTCTAAAAATTTGATTTTAAAAAAGAAACAGGACAGTTATAAAAACTAAGCAGCACAGTAGTAGTTGTTGTGAGTTCCCTCATCATGCGGCCCATGGGCCAAATGAATAAAATGAAGGGCCGAACAGTCCATATATTTAATTTGAGGCGTGAATTGGAAATGACCATATTGTCACGCTCTCTCTCACCTTTGCAGCTCTCACCGCAACTGAATCAACCGTTCTCGGTTTTAGCGTCAACTCGGTTTCGCTCGCAAGTCGCAACTTCATCTCAGCATGGTATTCCCTCTCATTTTCTCAATCCATTTCCGCGATCAATTTCACGGTTTTATTATTATTATTTTAAAATAAAATTGAATGTGATTTAGGTTTGCTTGGCGTGTTTGTTACCCCTCTTCCTGGTTCCAATAGTCAACATTCTCCCTCTTCTCTTCGATTTTATCATGGTAACTCGATTATACTATATTCACCTTTCTTGATTTATTATTTTTAGTTTACCAATAATAATAAATGAAATCTATAATTATGGTTGTTGAATGTTAATGTGTGTAATCAGGGAAAAATCTATGGCCTTTTTGGTTGGGAGTACAGAAAACCGGAAAGGGCTCCTCCTGCATGTCCATACAAGCCTACACCCAATAGGGTTAGTAAAGTAAGTGATTCAATGCCTTTTGTTGTTTTTCTATACAAATAGCATTGTTTAAGCTTGTCCATTTCACCTTGTGTTGAACTTAAAATAATGGAGGATTGGAGACTGTGATCCTTTCTGTGAAATTTTCGTGTGCTTGTAGTAAGTGGAAATTTTCGCTTCTGATTTCGTTTAATGTTTATTTATAATGACAAAAAGATGCCTTTGTAGAATGGAAACAAATGACATTTCTATGGACTAATAGTAATGTAACAAAGTTGTTGCTTTTTTTAAAACCTTGTTTTCAGATATTGTATAGAGAATGATGAAAACAGGCTTCACAACTGCTAAAATACTTCATTTTGTGAAGTATTTTAGAGAATTTGTGAAGGAAATGATGAAACATGAAACAAACAAAACGCACTCTTAAGAGGTTGTTTCTTGTTTTTTTGGCTTCCCTTTTCTTCTTCAACCTAGGACCTCTAGCCAAATTCCTTTCCAACTGTAACACCAGTGCTCAACCGGATAGCAATGTCAGAGAATTTATTAGTGCTCACTTTAGTCATTTGGAAGGAAAAATTCTTTTGTTTTCTAGTAGGGTGAAATAATCCATGATTTCATCCTGGTCAACAAGGGACATATTTGCTTAGTAAATAGGAACTAACCAATGTGATGCTGGGGCATGGATCCCTTTTTGGGCATGGATCACGCTTAACAACTTGTCAGGAAAGGATTAATGAAAATGAGTCCCACATCAGCTATGGCCTACGTGTGACCCATGGAACTTTTGAAATGGAGGCTCTCCCCATTTTTTGCCTTGCTTTTGGGAGTGGCATCACAATGTATCACTTTCTGGGATCTCTTAGGAACATCAGCCATCCCACAATTAACAGTATGTGGTTGTAACACATCCTTGTGCAATGACTGACAGCTGTGTTAGTTTTGTGGATCTTTCTGAATATCATGGGTGAATCATGGATGTCAAGACATGGTTAAAACTTATGCGGACATGGAGAAGAAGCTTCAGACATTTGAGGTTTTATTAGATTCACTAGAAACACATTACCAATCCATTAGATCAACTAAGGCCTGCCTAAATGCTTTGGAATAACCATTTCATCCGTGGTGCTTTTGTTAGTTTAGACTTTATGTTCTTAGCAAAATTTTAAATCAATCAGGATATGTGGATCCATGCTAAAAATGTGGATTATGGAACACTGTTTATGAGTGTTAAGAATGCAAGTGATACTACTTGGATAATGCTGGGATCTGGTTCCAAATATTATGACCCTACTAGCATTTAAGTAATCCTGCCTTGATTTAAAAAAAGAAAAGAAAATATTATTGTTCTTGGTTACAGTTCTGAAAGCTGTCACCACTCACCAGCATTGCGGTTTAGAAATTGAATTCTGTAAAATTTGAATATTGATGATGCCTTTACCATTCTGTACCAGTTGTTGGCTCAGATTCAAAGAGGTTCAACATTGTGTCTAAAGATTTGGAAAAGTGGAAAACCTGATCCTAGTACAGGAATATGGGGATAGATGTAGAATTACTGGAGTATCTGTAGGATTCTGTGGCCTGGCCTCCTGTTGTGATGCTGTTTTTGTGAGTTTAAATATTTTTTTTATTAAATAATAGAAATAATTGGTTGTAATTTGGTGAAATTAATGTGGAAAACTTTGAATCCGAAGTGATGTGTATTCTGCTAGTGCTACCTTTTATCTTATGTTAGTTAATACATGATTGTTGGGGATCGGTCTTGATCATTTATAAAGACATTTTATAATATGGCAGGAACAATTTTAGCAATTTTCAAATGCCTCTTGTCCAGTATGGTATTTTGACTTAGCTGACATGGGCTTATGTTACCAATGATCATATGCATCTCCTAGTTGAGAAATAATCTGTTCATCCTTCTGTCATTTATTTGGTTAAATGGATTTTGGTCTCTGGTTAAAGGAGTGATTTAAACAAGTAGGTAGTGACCCTTCAGTTGTTGTTGAGTGTTGGTGATTCACATAACTTGATGATGGATTCTGTTTTTGGTGTTTGCATGATGCGCCTGGTCTGTAATGCTAGTGTTGATTATGTACATGCTTACAATTTTGTGCTGATAATATCACGTTTGAAGCTTCCATGAATTCAAATATGAACCGAAATTACAAGATGCCAATGTTATAGCAGGCTGAGACAGATGCTGAACCAACTCCAGCAGAACCTGTTAAACCTGGAAGTGTAGATGTGAAGCAAGATTAATCTCGCAGCTACAATACGACAAGGTTTGACAAGAAGGAAAAAGTAGCACAGTCTACCGATGAAGGTTTATGTCTGTAACTTTTTTTAAATATCTCATCCTATCATGAACTTTGTAAATTTGATATGTTGTGCGAAATAATTTGCATAGGTTAATAAAAACGTGAGTGACTATACTTTGAAAATTCACTTTGCTTTAATTTGATCATATGAAAATTTGTGACGTAAAATTAGTCTTTCAAAGATTTAAATTACATTAAAATTGTTTACATTGATATCACACGTAACTTACCGAAAACATTCTAATTCTGTTTGTTTGAGTCTGATTGATACTATAATTCAGCTTGTCATAAAGCTCATATTCGTAACATAAACAGTTCTGGTCGACTTGAAATTCATTTCCAAGTGGTTGATGGTCCGAGGTTCTTTGGTTTCTATGGCATTAAAACTCAAAATTCAATCCTTTCTGATTTCTAACTCAGGTTTTATATGAAAACTTGATTTAAAAAAAATATAAATAATTGATGATTAGTTGTTTTAAAATTTAAGGTGCTTTTATTATTAAAAGTATGTTTGACTTAAAGCCAAAAAAATATATAATTTGTGTTATGTAATTTTTTTTAATTCTTGTGATTCTTGTTTTCTTCTACTTAATTTTCTATATTTGATAACTTCTTTTTCATTTTTATTATTTCAACAAAAATTTTAATCTGGAAAAAATAATATACAAATTTGGGGCGTTGCTATTTTAAGAGAAGGAATACGTACTTTTGAAAAAATGAAAAAGTTTCGTTGGTTAAGAATCTCATATTAAGTTTTATCGTGAATGTAATTTTTAGTTCATTTTTTGAAATATAAAGTATTATATTTTAAACTGAGTTGAAATTAGGTTAAGAACGCTCAAATACTCCCTTTTTCTTGGAGTCTAATGGACTATTTTATTTTATCATTGTTATGGGCATAGTTAAAGAAGTGACATTTATAGAAAAGTTTTGCTAATAAATCGCATTTAAAAGTGATTTGTTGGTTCAATTATTTAATATTTCAATATTTTTATTAAAATTTAAATATTTTAATAGTTTAAAAGTTTTTAATGAGATGTTAATACTTTCTTCTTCTTCTTTTTTTTGAAAAAATCTCTACTTGTTAATATTCGCTATTGTTAAACTAAAAAAATTTAGATATATTATATATTTATTCGGTCAAGATCTTAATATATCTTTATAGTTTATTTCATAAAAGTTGAAAGAATCCTGACGGCAATCAACCAGGTAGGACATATTTAAATTTTTAAAAAAATACAAAGATATTTTTTTGGTAAACTTGTAATTTTAAAAATGTATATAAAAACTCAATAAAATTATATAAATTTACTTTAATTTGAAATTTTTTATTCTATTTTTACGCTCTTGCCTATGTAATTCATAGTATATAAAAAAAATTATTATAATTAGGTAGCCTTATTTTTTGTCAACTACTAGTTAGGTGGCTTGGAATAGTCAGACTTGTGGGAATTTTTGCAAGGCTTCACCAAGGAAATGCCATTTTTATATCCTCAAAGCAAGGCTTGGCCCCAAAGCTGATGACCCACTGAATTATTAAAATGAAATGTTTTAATGATAGAATAGAGAAAAAAGGCTTATTCTATCTTAGTTCAGCCCAGTTAAAGAGGGGGAGAATGAGATATTAGATGAAATACTTCGTTCCATTTCACTCTTGACTCTATCTAATTTTGAACAGTTTAAACAATTGAATCTATGATAATTTTATTTCGATTACGAATTTATTAATCTAAACACAGTCTATATTTATATTATAACATACAAACATTATTCTTTTACAACGGTGCCATGTGAGCGAATTGGGCACTTGTGAGCTTTTCAAAACTATAGCGTGCCATTTATGATATGATAGCAATGTAAGCTTCTCTGCGATACGAAGGGCCCTTTGAGAACCTTATTCATTTTTTTGTTGAACAGCGAATCCATGGAAGAGATTGACGGGGCCCTTTAACGTAACTTGAGATTAAGGTCACTCACTCATCATGGTCACCACTATTTTAAGAAAATTACCCCTATCTCTCTCTGCGTCAGTGTAAATTGAAAGCAAAGCCAACTTCTGGAAAATAACCTTATGACTATCACTCCCTTTTTTAAATAAATATTTAAATGACATCAATTCAACTGAAAATACCAGACACTTTTTACACATTAAAAAATAATTATATTATAAGTATACAGAATGTCTAACTATAAATATCCAAATTATGTGTTAAAATAGCATTTCTCTAAATAAAATTGAATTACGTCTAAATCGATTGCATTACTCCGCTGCGAAGGAATAAGATTATGATGTTAAAAATATGACGTATAAAAGATTTTTAAAATAGAGCATCATGTACATATTTAATATACGTATCAACACCCTCTCTTGTTTTAGACCATTTCGTTGAAGAAAAATAATGCAAATTTTATAGTGCAAAGATTCATCACGATAAATTATAAAATCAACTTGTTAAATTTAAATTAAGTAAATTAGAAACTTAATCCCTGAAATTATTTTTTACCTGTAATTATGTCATCAAATTCAAATAATTTATAAATTTGATAGGTGGAAAATTTACCTAGTACACATGATAATAAATTTTAGGAAGTAAATTTGAAGAAAAGAATCACTCTCCCAACTCAAACACTCTTTTATGATAATGAAAACAGAAAAGCTACCTATATCTTATCTTAACTACTCTTCATAAAATGATATCCTTGCTACTTTCTATCAATGAGTCAGTCTACCTTGACATTGACTGAAATTGCTTTGTGGGAAGAGACAATTGTAAAGAACAACATGTTACTTGTGGACAGTGTGAATGAGTTATTGAGTAGCGTGTTTCAAGTTTTATAATTATAATTTTCAATTGAAAATTTCCATGAAGTCATGCACGTAGACCTTGAAAACGTACCACTATAAATTTCTTGTGTCCTCTATATTCTCCTTTCCTTCAAAGAGTTCAAAGGAGGCTTTTCCTTCAATTTAAATGAAAAATCAAAACCAAAGCACAACGAGATATCTTCCACTCGAACATTCATTTGCTTGTTGGTATTTTATAATTTCTTTTTGGCACATTGCATGCGAATAATTTAATTTCATTGTCTTCTAAGTATCTAAAAGAATCTATGGAATCCATACCCACCCACTCTCTCACTCGTTTTCCTACTCTACATCATGTTCATTCAAGTTGTTTATGTAGTTTGGAGGGTGCTGGGTAGTGGGAAAATTATAAATTCAATATGGCATATAATATATGGTTGCTTTAACTTAACTATATTATTATATTCATCGAGCAGAGAAAGGCAGAAACAATTCCTCTGTTTTTTGTGTTAAATAAAATTTAAATGACTTGAATTGAATGGCCAGGAAATGAAAAAGAAAGACAGAAGAAGGGGTGACATTAATTTTGTTTTGATGTGCATGCGCTTTATTATGGTTCACTGCCGCCGCCGGTGACCAGTTTGGTCATGACCCACTTGTGCTGTCCGACAAAGCAACCGGCCTAAGATTCTCTTCCATTATTAATTAAATTCAATCACAATTATTAATTGTTCGGTTTCTCACTTAGGGGAGTTTTTTTTTATATCTTCTTAAATACTTTTTCTATTTTATAAAATACTTATTAAATCAAGATATATTTATCATTTTTCTTTAATAATTAAAAAATATTAATATTGGTCGAGTTTAAACCACTAGTAATAATAATATTTTACTTAAAAATATGTATTACATTAGAAATACAATTTAAATAAAATTTTAATATTGTTCAAATTTAGTATTAAAGAATTTTTTATTTTAAATTATAATATTTAATTATATGATGCATTAGATTATTTGATTTTTAATAAATTTTTATTATGTACGGTAGGAAGTCGGTTCTTATTATATGCTTTTTGAATCCACATTAAAAAAATCGTTAATTATTGTATAAATATAAAAAATAAATACTTTATTAACATACTTTTAATATATTTTAACATAGGTTTTAACAAGAAATTTTTTTTTTTTATTTTTATTGAATTTTTTAAAGATGCTAACTTACAAAATTACAGTTATTATAGTAAAATAATGTTGTTAATCAAGGGTAGATGGAATTTGTTGGGGGGTTAAATTTAAATATTTGTTCTTAGTCTCTAATTTCTTATAAACTTGTTCCCATGGGGGAAGGAGATGCATGCTGCATTATATCCTCAGCACATACATCACACAGTGTGACGCAACTTAAATATTTAGTGAATTGCTCTTATTTTTGCTCTCTTCAATAAGACATAATCTAGATACACCTAAGAGAACTTGAACGTAAACGTAAAAGTAAGCAACTGATCTGCTAAGATAAAAACATATTAAAATATGAGAGTTAATTAAAGAACAGCTTCATAAAATGCATGATCGTTTGCTTGCTTTATTTCCTAGCTAGTTTGGTTTACGATTTTCATTTATTATAATTTTGCATTCCTCATTTTTTTTCCCAATAGATCTTGCTAATCAATGCGAAAGTGATCATACAAATTTTGTATGAATTAACGAGTATGGAATGTTGAATTTTTTATAAAAAAAATAGAAAAGAAATATTTTATTTAAAATAAAATAATACTAACAACATATTCACTAATACACTTATTTATTGATTAAAATTTATTAAAAATATAAAAAACTATCAATTTTACTCTTAGTTTAATAATTTTTATTTATACTTTTGTAATTTTAAAAAATGTTAACTAATAATTAATAACGTGTTAAAAATATTTAAAATATATTATTAACAATTCTCTTCCTTTAAAAGTTTCATATTACAAGAAGTATTTCTCTTTTCTCAATATGGACACATGTTTTTTTTTTTTTTAGAAGTTCTGCTTCATTCAAAAGGATTAAGAATGTAAAGTTCCTAAATTCATGATGCATTTGGAAGAATTAGTAATTAGAGTATATTTGATAAGTCATTTAATCAAGTTACTTTATAATTTGGTTGACTAACTTGTAAATTTTTTGGTCCAGATAAAGGTGTAAGTATCAAAATTCTTATTAAATATGTTTAGAGAAATAAAATATACATGAATATAATACACAACATTATTAAAAAAAAAATTTCTATCGATAATATTTTATTATAAAAAATATT